GTATCAGGAAGCTACATACTTTCAAGAAAAGCGGGGTTGTGGTACAATACAAGGGAAAGTGAATGCTCTGCACAGGACCATGGTGAAGAATAAACATGACGATGATTACAGTGGCTAGACAACAGAGTTAGCAGGAGATAGTCATGCGTACTTACTCATTCTTTATGTCAAGCACAAGTACTTGTTGATGTTTAAGTTAATTTCCAAAACTTATTTCCTTCAAAAGAAATAATTTTATTTAAAGTTTCCAAGGGGGTAGAATCCAAGTAACCCAAGCTTAATTATTTTCGCCAATGTTTTCTAAAGCTTTTTGGTCCGACAAGGCCGAGCCTAAGCCTTGAGGCGTTAAGGTGTAAGCCTTATGGGTTTAATTGTTTTAATTAAAAGATTTTCGTTTCTTCTCAAAAAAATATTGTTTTAATTAAAAGACATAAAAATTACAAGTATTACAACATGAGCTACTCTTTGTTGTCGTACCAAAGAGAAAAGAGATAGAGAATGAGGTATGAAGGTGGCATGACAATAAGAGAATGAGATATGAAGAGGGACTCGGAGGCACTAGCTTGCGTGTTTTGGGAGGAGAATTAGGTTCTAGGAAATCTAACTTGGGGCTGGATTGTATCTGGTGGAGGGGGAAGAAGGAGTTTGTGGGGTTGCACAACATAAAAAAAACGACTGCATTTTGCTTTAGAAAATCAGCCTTGGAGAACAACATGGTAGCGCTCCTTTTAAAATATCAGCCTTTAATGAAACATTTTGTTTCATTTAACGGAACACATACAACTTTACAAAATGGTGTGGTTTAATTTTGAAAACATCGGGAAGACAAAATTAGGGCACGTAGGAGTCGTCTTATTTGTAAGGCATACTATTCAGCCACCATTAGCGCTGCTTCAGTTGCAGATTGTACACCTCGCCCCTGAAGTATACGCCACCCGACCAGTTTCCAAAACACTGATTTTGACAAGAGGGGACTGAGGAAAACTTTTTTGGGTTCATATGTGGTATAGCAATTCTTCCTCTCAAAGAAGCTTTCATAGTTTATCATCCCTTAGCAGCTCATAAAGATGCTTTGAGATCTAAAACCATAGAATAGAAGCAAACATGAGTGGTAGCTTACATATTTGCACAAGTTGAATGTAATTTGTGAACGGGAAGATGAATCAATCTAGAGTTGTCTAAATGCAATTGGACTGTTATGTCTTATATTAGGGGTGATGCCAATTGCATGCAGTCAATTCCAACAGAGAAGTCAGACAAACATTATGCTAATAGATTACCAATTGCTGGCAGTACATGCCATCAACTTTTGGAACTTTTCAATTTGGACAATGCCTTATCCAACCCTGATGGTCTCACAAAAACTCAACAGGAGCGACTATTTATTTAAAGATCCTTCAGGTGCATCTATGCTTAATCCAGGATCTTTCAAATATATATTTTTTTCAATCAAGGGAAAGAGCTCCAACTTAAATGAGTTAGTGGCATGAAACTAACATGAGATGTCGTGGTTTCCAATTACAGTTCCATCTATTGGATCAAGAATAATGACTTTTAACCAATTGGTCAAATATAGGATAATCAAGAATATGTTAATACCTTCTAAAAAACATCAACATGACAGAAAGAACATTATTGACAGGCAATCCTCAGTATAGAAGAGGCTCATTTGGACTAGCAAACAAATAAATTAAATTGTCTTGAAAAGGCATTTAACAAGATAAAGGTCAAATGATCAAACAAAAAAAGAAACGAGCCCAACAGAATCATCATTGAATCTAAATTGGGGGAAGATACATCTTCTAGTAGCCATAGAAGAGTACACAAAATTATTGACATAACAGCATTTCACAAGTCTGCCTTGAAAAATTGGCTCACAACTCCACAAGACACCACTACTGAAGATTATTCTACATATAGGATGTTGTACAGGAAGGAAAACTCCATGTTGTTAGAATGATATCAACAGCCACAACAATGACCTAAATATCTTTGAGACTTCATATGAAAACACCCGAATTTCAAGTATTGACACAAAAAGTATTTCCAAAAAATGCCAATATCTCTCATCAACTCCAGTCACCATGTTGTTATATCTAGATATACAAGACAACTATGTCAAGAGATTTCACCGACCAGCCACATGCTCAACTTCGAAGACACAAGCTCTCAACTTTTCAAAGCTTTTGAAGCCTGAATCCAGATATAACATCACTTGTGCTCCTGATATTTTGATCAACCAAATATGCAGAAACTTCTTCAATTAACAATTATTCCTATCCATAGATTCAACATATGAAGGCTGTAATCTTTCAATAACTATGCTTTTTCAGGTTCATCCCTCACTTCAACACACCACTGATCAAAATTTAGCATCAAGGACATCAAAGTTGAAGGTTGATGCACTCTCTTCTAACTTCTTGCACTACGAAGTAATTCTATTTTGCTATTTTCAAACCCTTTCAGAGCAACTTCCAGTCTAAGAATTTATCCAATAATTTGTACTAATATCCAATGTGGCTCTTGTGGAAGGATGCAATTGCAACCAGTTACTTTTGCATGAAATTGGCAATCCCTCCATGCAGTGACCTCATGAAAGTACTGCAGAAAATTATACTAGATATTAGCACTCAGGTAAATGTACTCTTATTGAGTTACATAGATCTACACCACACACTAGCGTTATCTATGAAGTTAACTAGCCTACTGGAAAGAGAGAGCGAGAGAGAATAAAAGCAGAAAAGAATGAAAGAGCAAGGAATGAAATCAGAATATGAACAAATTATCCATAATAGGGTAATAGCCAGATACCAAAAAGCGGTCATAATAAATAAGCCTCCCCTAACTCCTATCCACTCCTATTGAAAAAAACCTACACTTCTCTCCTTCACATTTTCCAATTAACATATATCAATTCAACCAAAATACAATTTTAAAATTTTAAAAAGCATACAGAGACCTCTTCTCCTCTGTTATATATCCTTTAAAAAAATATTATTTGGCTAAGAACATAATACAGTCGTATGAGTTTGTTCCAACTAGTAGAAACTAACTTATCAATGGTATTATACAAGACTAGAACACTAACAGAAAAACAACAAAATTTAACCACACCAAAAAAAAACAGAATCAATACAATTAAACTCATCGTATCTCTCAACAAAATTGCACGCAACTAAAAAGTATTTATGAAAAGCTCGAGTGAACTAAACTTTTCAAACGAACCCATTGACCTACACCAATTACTTGAGAATAATTAAGCTAGAGTTTAAAGTCATACACACAAAGTTAGAAGCTTTACTCTAGGGTATCAAATCTAAAATTTCTCTATGATACAATAAACCCAATTCAAAGATTACAATTCTCAAGTAATCTAACAAAGAAACGCGAGCTTAAAGCAACCATAAAGCAAAGTAAGAATCTAACTCTTGAGCTCTAGTAAACCTAGAAAGGCCCTATTCACTTGAGTTTAATAACCATACGCATCGAGTTCAAGAAAAATACAGAAACATAAGCAAGAACATAAATAAACAAGAAACCCTAAGTAAAGAACTGACATGGATTTGTACGGTGACTATTGTGAGAAGAAGAAGAAGAAGAAGAAAAATGGGGCAGGATGAGAGTACTTACGGAAAATTAGAGAAAACCTAGAGTGCGTTGAGAGACGACCTCCGTCTGTGTGACTTTGCCATATCTGAATTTACCCTTTCCCCAAAGAGAGTGTGTCGAGAGCGACAGAGAGAGAGAGAGAGTGCGGGAACAAGAACAGGAACAGGAACAGGAACAGAGACGGGGAAGTGAATGAGTGATTTTTATGCCAATCAACCCACTCTATAATGCTACAGAGTCTACAGACAGATTAATCTTTCGCTTATACTGAGTCTTGCCCTGATGATTTTTCCTGTGGGCCCACTTAAAGGAGCCATTATTTGGGATATTGAAAAAAGAACATAAGTATGTTCGAAGCCCAACAAGACAAAACGACCCACATACTGCGAAACGGGACAAGCTGGCCCAGTTTACTGATAGGAATCCATATCTAAGTTGACGAAGTCAAATTGATACCGTTGGGTTAGCCCTGTACAATTTGCATTGTACTGTTGTTAGAAATAAAGATTATTCTCTCTATCTCTCTTGGTATACGATACGAGTTAAAGATAGAATTGGGTACTAACATTTACAAACCTCGATCGGCTAATCGACCTAGGGTTGGCAACTGCACGGGTTGGAGTCGGATATGTTGTCACCATCTCCACCCTTCTTGTTTAAACAATGAACTCATCGGGTACTTAGAGCAAGTCCAACGGATAGCTGAGCCCGAGGTTGTGGGGGAAAAAAAAAGTTATTTCCAGCGGTCAACCCAGGCCAGGGGGAGGTGTGGGACCCACCAACTCGATCTGGCCCGAAGGCAGCTTCAGCCCGAGGTCCAAAACGCGGGGGGTGACGTCACGCTCGACGTCAGGGTGATGTCACGCTCGACGTCAGGCTGACGTTGAGCACGCGGGGTTGAATTTTTTTACCATTGGTGCGTGCATTGCATGCGCTAACGGTAAAAAAAAAATTTTACCAGCGTGCGTTGGAAGCCACATGTCACGCCCCCAGCGCTCCGATTTGCTTCTACATACTTCATCCAACGGCTGGCGTTTTTCCAGTAATAAAATTATGAAGAAAAAAAAATCGAAATTTGTTTTAAAAAATATTTAAAAATTCTAATTTTTTTTCCTATAAATACCTATAAATACCCTTCACTTTCAACACCAATCCTCATACATTTTATTCTACTTCTACTATTACTCAACATTTTATTCACTCTTTACTCAACATTTTCCTCTCTTTCACATTGTATTTTTATACCATTATTTTTATAGCTTCTTCTATCGAAACTGGAGAGGCGTGGAGCACCATGGAAGATGTTTCTTTGTGTGAGGCTTGGCTCCAAGTTTGTCATTGTCCCGTGACAGACAATGAGATAAAATTTTTCCATATGTGGAAAAAAATTCATGCCGAATTTTGCGAAAAAAATTCCGGGGTCGACTCGTACGGAAATGGCATTGTCGAGTAGGTGGAAAATTCTCAACAAAGAGTTGGGAAAATGGAGAGATGCCTTGGCAAAAGCAATGAACAACTATAGAAGCGGGGAAAATCGTACTAACGAGGTAAGTATTTTGTAATTTTCGTTTTATTAAGTTTAATGTCCTAATATATATATATGTTGTTAATATTTATTGCATTTTAAATATTTTGTTAATATTTCTTGCATTTTAAATATTTTGTTAATATTTCTAGCATTTTCAATATGTTTTTAATATTTCTTGCATTTCCAACTGTTTCTTCATATTTCTTGCATTTTCAATATTTTGTTAATATTTCTTGTATTTCCAGTTGTTTCTTCATATTTCTTGCACTTCCAATTTTTTTGTAAGGTTAATTGCATTTCCATTATTTTTTTTTGTTACTTGCATATCCAATATATTTTAAATATTTCTTGCATTTCCATTTTTTTGTTAAATAGATGATTCAAGCACATATGTGGTTCAATAAAACGGGGGTGGCAAAAATAGTTTCAACCATCATGAATGTTGGGAGGTGGTGAAATATTGTAAACGCTTCATAATTATTCCCACGGGTCCCGCAGTTGTGTTAAACGAGACATCACTCCGTGATTCAATGACATCGGATTCACCTCTCGATTCCCCTATGAGTGAAGACTCACCCATCCAAAAGAAGCCGAGGCCCATTGGCCGAAAGGCTGCGAAGGCAAAGAAAGCAAGTAATTCAAGCAATAATAATTCAAAGTTTTTGGAGGAAATTGCAAGGCAGAACGCCATAAGAATTGAAATGGAGCAGAAATGCCAAGATATGGAGGTGGCAATTCAAGCCGAGTGTGCATGAGAAAAGGAGTATTTGCGTAAAAAAGATATGGAGAAGACGGATCGAGAAACCATGGCGATGGATACAAGCCGTATGTCCCCTGAAACAAAACAATATTGGAAGCTAAAACGAAGGGATGTTATGAGAAGAAGACTTTTCCAGGATGATGGGCCTAGCAACACAGATTGGTTAAATGATCTAAACCATTAAATTAGTTGGCATACCTTTTATGTATTTTTATTTTTCATGTTTTCTATTAAAGTTGTTGTACTTCATGTATTTTATTTTAGTAGTAGTAATTCTTAATGACTTGTATTGGATTTCTTTATTTAATAAACAAAGTATTCAATAAAATACCTTTTTATTCAACATATTCCATACATCAAACAAAACATAATTAAAATAATAAAAAACTACAAACTGAAATTTGAATTTTGAAATTCATCCGAAATTTGAACCCAAAAATCTTATCCGGAAATTTTATCTAATTATGAATAGTCTTGACACGTAGAAACCCGAAAATCTTATCCGAAAATGTTATCCAAATGAATTATTGAGGTAAAAAAATTTGTGAATAAAACAAAAAAATGAATAGTAATTGCCCTTAGCCATGGCAATGGGTGGAAACACAAAATACTATTTGCAAGGGCAACCACTATTCACGTGAATAGTGACTGCCCTAGCTCCCCCCTTGCCATGGCTAAGGGCAAATGGGTGGAGTTGCTCTTAGGGCGCAATGACTTTTCATTATTTTTTTTCTCCTCAATGAATGTGAGGCCAAATTTTTCATAGTCATTTGTTGAACTTTTTTATTATGAATGTTTTTAATCCTTTTTCATTTAGCACAGACAAAAAAATAATAAACTTTTCAGCACTCTATGGCCCTGTTTGGTACACCTCCTTGGATTGACTTGGATTGGACTAACTTAAATAACACCCCAAGCCCATGTTTGGTGCAACCCATCTTTAAGTTAAATGAGACTATATAGTCCTGGCCTTCAAAAAAAACTTCACTTTTTGGCACAAAATAGAGAACTCTATAGAGGTGCCGCTAAATAACGAAGATGCTATTGAGTCTGCCTTTATCCAACGTTGCTCTACTCTCCTCTTCTCTTCAACATTGCTCTGGCTCCCCTCTTCCACGTTGCTTTGTTTTCATCTTCTGTTGTGCTCTACTCTCACTCACTCAGGTTAGTTGTTCAACTCTCTTCTTCTCTTTCCACTCTTCTTCTATGTTTGTCTCTCTCCTTGGTGATATTTGATGGGTTCAATTTGCTATTTCTTAGTGATTTTAAGTTTTGATTATGTGATTTTTTGTAGTTAGCTTAATTTGATGAGAAATAACATTTGTATTGGTTAATTTTCATTGGATTATAATTGGGTATTTTTCTAGGGTTTTCAATTTTGAATTGTTTTGATTATGGGGTTTTTGTTTGGAATGAGAAGAATAAAAGGATAGAGGTCATGTGGTCAATTGCTCATGGATGTTCTATAATTTCTCTATGTGGGTGGCTAGGCATAACTGTTTGTTAGATGCTAGTTTTTCTTTTTCATGGTGATTGGCACTTTTCAAGTGGAAAGTGTAATTGTTTTAGTTGAAAAAAAAAAAGAAAAAAAAAGAAACATGTACTATAATCAATGCAAAAACTTTGTTGGTTTGTATATATATTATCTAAACATATACTTTGTTGGTTTGTAAATGGTGACTGATGCTTTCTTAAAAGGTAATGAAGATCTATCTGATATTGCCAAAGAAGTCAAGGAAATGGGATTTTCTACTATGGATCAAATTAAAGCATTAAAAGTCATTTTGGATAAGCCACAAACAATATCTCTATTCAAGAGTCACTTGATGCTGATATCAAAAAAGCCTTTGTTGAGCAATTGCTCAATGAAAATGCTTGAAGGAGGCAACATCTGATATATTGGAAACGCCACAAGTGCATCTCCCACCTTAGAAACACCACAAGTATCTACTATAGCTTTTGTTTTTGCTGCTTTATTAGTCTCAGTTTGGAATTGTGGATGTTTATTTATAAATGTTATTTAGTGGGTTTTGGTTGATTATTATTGTTGTTAGTCTGTGCACTTGTGGAAAGTAATATATGAACGTGAATTTGTAATTTCAAGCCATGTGGATGACGCATATATATAAAATATCTAACTTTTGCATCTATAAATATTGTATGAGTTTTGCTTTATATGATGTTGGGATGGTTTGGAGCTTGTCTCACCACCATGTTTGAACGAAGAAAAGAAGAATAAGAGGGTAGAGGTCATGTTGCTAATCGCATGTTGTGTTTGCACACAAACATTTGGTTTTTGCAAACACAACATGCAATTGCAATCACAGTTTGCAAAAACCAAATGTCTGTGTGCAAACACAACATGCGATTAGCAACATGACCTCTACTTAGTGACGGTTTGGCAATTTACATTAGGGAAGTTGAACTTTCACATTTTGGAAATGTTCTTAAAATATAGGCAAGTTTTGAAAAATTTAATACCAATTTTTTGTCTTGGAATTATAGTAAAAATAGTTGATAATTAAAATATTATCACTTTAAAGAAAATTAAATTTTTTTTTTGTCCCAGTCTGAGCATAAACCAAACACAGGATAGTACTATTTTTGTTATTTAGCTTATTAGTCCGACGCAGCACCAAACGTAGGTCAGTACTTAATCCAGCTTAGACCAAGCCAAGCCAATCCAAGAGAGTCCCAAGATTTAGTCCAATCCATAACAATCCGCCGTACCAAACAGGGCCTATGTGTATCTAACATAACTTTAAGGACTTGTTTGATATACCGTATTAGACTCTGGATAGGAGTAAATAGTCTATATCAGTTTTTTGGTAGCAACTTATATTATTTAATTACCTGACTATTTTACATAACGAAAAACCGTCATGGAATCCATTGCATTTAGATTCAAACTAAAGCTTTCCTCATTAGCCATCTAGAAGAATAGTTGAACGTTGAAGATGAATGAAATTTTAGGGTACAAAAGTAGAATTCGTAAAAGGTTTTCATGTTTGAAGTTTCATTAGTAAAATTTTATTGAGTCTTACATATCAGGTTCAATACCTTGCTCTTGCATGTTGAGGATAATTGAGTAATTTGAATTTTGATTAAAGAAAATATAGATGAGATTTTTGCATCTGCTCTTCCCAATTTCAGTTTATTGTCCATGGAGATGTAATGTAACATAAAAATGTTGGTGAGAGATTGGTTTGATGGTTCTAGCCATAGGGACCATGAATTTAGGTGATTTTTCTCTTTTATAGTTGTAGGGAAACAATATGGGAGGCTGAGTGTTCTCTTCAAGGTCAAGGAGAAGCATGAAAGAAGAGGATAAGGGCTGTGAGACAGTGCAAATGTCATTGTAGTCTTAACCGAAAATAAACTTAAGCACTGCAGATATGGCACAATCCAAACCGTAGAAGATTCTGGTACATGGTGTTGTGAAAAATAATAGTTTTTCTCTTTCCGTAAAGTCAAATACAAAATATTTATATTATAAATAACATATAAACAAATTGAAAAGCTTTGAAGGTATAATGAAATTGAAGAAAACAAAATAATAGGGAAATAAAAGGAAAATAAATAATAGGTAAGAAGGTGAGTTTGGTACGGTGAAGCACGTCAAAGACGCTGTCCTAAAGCCTTTGTAGCCTCCCTACGTGCAGGTACTGACGGTCTACAAGACTCCAAGATACGACCTCTTGTACACAAACTCAAGATCCGCTATGAGCACGTTCATAAACAGATATAGGTATCCAAGTCACATAACCATTGCCCAAAATAATAATAATATAAAGTAGAGAATATATTTAAAAGTTGAAAAGGAGAGAATTAGAATGTGTATGTGATATTCTGATAGTGTATTGTGGTTCTTGTGTGTGTATCAAATGTGAAGGAGGAGTGACCTTTTATAGGCATCCAAAACATGTAACCTTCACCAACCATAAAAGTTCACCAACCAAAAAATTAAGGCATTCACCAACCAGAAATAAAGCCTGAATATTAAATATTTATAACCCCCACAATAAATAAAATAAAACAGCCAAAATAATTAAATAAATAAAACGGTTAAATTTTTAAAACCTTTTAAAATTCCAACAATCCCCCACAAGGTTTTTCAAAATTTTACCAAAAAAAAAAAAAAAAAAAAAAAAAAAAAAGTGATATAATATATACATGCAATATAATATACTATGTAATAGGTGTAGGTGCCTTCCGGGCTTGAACTTTCACTTAGTGATGATAGTCTCCATTTGAGGAACCTGAGTGTACACAGTATTGAACTCGGCACCTTTGACCAAACTTCAACATATCCCACACATAGTATTAGTTGAGACTTGGATGCGGGGTAGCGCTATTTATGGCCATGCGCTAATCTTGATTCTCATGAGAGTTGCTAGAGAATAGCCCAATTCTCATTCATGACGTCTCTCACTTAGGTGAGTTCTCCAAGAGTACATGTGACTTGCACTCCTGGTTCTCCAAAAGTACATGTGACCTGCACCCTGCGGGAGTTTTCTCGCCTCGAAACTCATTTAGGGATAAATCCCTTCCTGACGTCACATAAAATAGCACTTTTGCCTTAGGGATGAGCAGAAGAATATCTCAAGGATATCTTCATAGTTTTATGAGTGCTATATGAGTCACGCAGTATGGATTGTTTCTACCACATTGAACTTCCTTCATGGGATCTCCAATCATAGAAGTTGGGTTACCTCCCTAGGTGACTCCCTTATGGGCTTAAGCACATCCCCCTCGACATTATGCATTAATAGCCTCCTCCACGAGGCATGCATATCAAGACTAGCCTTCACAAGGCATATATAATGTAGGTCATGTCTTTGTTCTTCATTTTAGCGCGCTTTAAATCTGCATGTTATTTAAATATTTCCTACACAAACTTGCACACAAATAATTAGTGGATTTCACCTCAATTTAATTGGAAATTAAATACGCATTGGTATACAGTTAAGTATAACGGAAATCCCACTCTATATA